AATTAGAAGTAGGGATTCAAACAGATTTTTGTATACCCATGTTCATAGAAGCATTGTTTATAATAGCCAAAAGATGGAAACAACCCAAATTTCCATCAACAGATGAATGGATAAACAAAATGCAGTATATATACAACAGAATATTATTCAGCCTTAAAAAAGAATGCAGTTCTGTATATCCTCAACATGGATGAACCTTGAAGACATCATGCTAAATTAAATAAACAAGACACAAAAAGACAAATAGTGTATGATTCCACTTAGATGAGGTACCTAGAATAGTCAAATCCAGAAAGCAGAATGGTGGTTGTCAGGAGCTGGGAGTAGAGGCATTGGAAGTGATTGTTTAATGGTTACAGAATTTCATTTTTGGTAGATGAAAAAGTTCTAGAGATGTATAATCGTGATGGTTGCACAATACTGTGAATGAACTTAATGCTATGACTGTACACTTAAATATGGTTAAGATGGTAAAAAATTTTATGTTATCTATATTTTACCTCAACTTTAAAAAAGCAAATTAGGGATAGCTGAGGGAACAAATGGCATACTAAATGAATGTACTGAGGAATTCCATCCAAACAAAACAAGGAAATATATGGAAAATATGAAAAAGGAATTAAAAGACACAAAAGAAAGCATAAGAAATCGTATGTTAGATCTAACGAGAGTTCCACTTGGAGAGAATAGCAAGGACAAGAGAAATAATAATGACTGAAAATTGTGCAGAAATTAAGGCAGACAAGTCTTCAGAAAGAAGAGTGCTAAACAAGATAAATTTTTTAAATGTATATAAAGACATATTATAATTGAACTGCAGAACACCATAAAAAATTTAAGATCTTAAAAACAACTGGAGAAAAAACAAATACAAAGATACTATAATTCAACTGATAAAAGACTTCTCAACAAAGGTAGAAGCCCAGCAGGACAGAGCAGCTTCAGCAAAGTGCTAAGAAAAAGAGCAGTGAATGAATGATTTTATATCCAGCTAACCTACCATTCAAGAGTAAGGTAAAACCAAGCCATTTTCAAACATATGCATCATCAGTAACAGATTATAAATGAAAATACTGAAAAATTTATTTCAATAAAAAGTAGATGGACCCTAAATGTTTATCAGTAAATAAAAGGAAGTGTATTCAAATAAAGAGAAGTTAATATGAAAAAGGTAGGTAGATTGAATCCAACTATTAAATGAAAGCAAAAACGTATGTGCAGGATGAAATTGTATACTTTTTCAAACACATAAAACAATAACATATATAACTTAGAAAGATATGCATATATACTAAAAATATAGAAAACACATGCATGGAAAAGATAAACACTTCTTTATAAGAATGGATGTCTTAGTGGAAGAAGGGGTAAGGAAAAGGAAAGAAGCTTCACTTGTAATTGTAATATTTTTATTTCTCTGAA